ATTACTGCAAATAATATATATATATATATATATATTCAGAAAAATATTTTTAAAAAGTATATTCATAGGCTACAATCATTATAAATATAGTCACTGTGTTAGAATTTACCATACTATATCATCACCTACCACCTCCACTCAACTCACCTACCACACACACTCACCTACTCCCCAATCCTCTCCTATATAATTAGTACCTCACCATCTGTAATTAACACAACAATCTTGTATCTATCAATCAATAATATACATTAATTTTAACACACTGTTTACAAATTCTAAATCTACTCTATGTACCTCATTTTAATGTAATTTTTAGAAAGAAATTCATTGACAAATAACATTTTCAGAAAAATAATAGTCTACAGCCTTTATTTTTTGAGTACTTTTCGAATTGCCTAATTCTATTGTTTAATTACTATGATTAATTAACTCTTGTTCCACAAGGAGAGGAAAGGCTGCATAAAAATTAACTTAGGGTAAACGCTTACTCGATGCTACATCTTTACCTATTACTTTACCTACATCTCGAAAACTTTGCTTCAGCTTTAAGTGATTTACAGGTGTCTAAATCAGACTTTCTCCGCAAGAACTAGTTAATACTTTAGTTTGATCCTGATAGAATTGTGAGAAAGTACTTATAGTTTATGTCTTAACAGCTTATAACTTATAATTATGAATAAAAGCTGATTTTTGACTTATAAATTAAACTTTTCCTGCTCAACTCAAAGAATAAGTTGATTTCTGACTTACAAAAAGCTATAAACTGCATTGTTAAGCTAAACCAAACACATCAAAATAACTTAAATTAAGCTGAAAACTGAAATAAACTGAAAAAAAACTGTACCAAACAAGGCCTTTGTGTTACTGTGCAACCTAAACTTCTATCAAGAAAAACAAGAACACAAATTAACTCTTGTTCCACAAGGAGAGGAAAGGCTGCATAAAAATTAACTTAGGGTAAACGCTTACTCGATGCTACATCTTTACCTATTACTTTACCTACATCTCGAAAACTTTGCTTCAGCTTTAAGTGATTTACAGGTGTCTAAATCAGACTTTCTCCACAAGAACTAGTTAATACTTTAGTTTGTGTTACTGTGCAACCTAAACTTTTATCAAGAAAAACAAGAACACATAAATCATCATTAACAAAAACATCTCAAAAAAACACAAACCATGTTTTAATAATTTGCAAAAAACCACATACACAACTCAATAAGATATGGCAACTGTTTGCACGTATATGCATGTAATCACACAGTGCCCATGCATACATATATATAATCTTCTCTTTAAAGCTGCAAAAATTTAAATTCGAATAATTTTTAACGAATCGAACTCAAACTCAGCTCATGAGAATGCATTTACACTTTGCATTATTGCTTTTGTTTTTTTTAAGGATTTTCTTTATTCAATAACATGATCATGATCATGCACACACACCTTCATTTAAAATACAAAAGATTCCAAAGTCTAAGCCATCATTTGGTTGAACTCATGAAAATCAAGGACACCATTACCATCAGTATCAAAGACTCGAATCATAGCCTCACACTCGTTGTCCGATTTCACATCACCGAGTCGACTCAGCACTCTCTGCAAGCTCTTCGGGGTAATCCGACCAGACCCTTTCTCAAACTCAAACATCTCAAAAGCTGCCTTAAGATCTTCATCCTCACCTTCCTTCTTCATCAGCCTCATAAAATCTCTGAAGTCAATCAAATTGTCTCCGTCTCCATCAAGCTCTTCGATCACTCCCTGAGCCTCCTCGTGCGACATGTACTCGCCTATCGAAGCAAAGTAAGCTCTGAGCTCAACTGCTGAGATTTTGCCATCGTTGTCGCCATCAAAATGTCGAAAAACTTCTCTGAGCTCATCTTCTCTAGTAGTAGTTTTTGGTGTAATGGGTGATCTTGGAGTGCGAGGAGAGCTTAAATTTGAGCTGGACTTGGATCGAAGACGATGGAGGCTGAGCTTTAGGCCTTTTTTGTGAGGGAAACAACCGAAAGATTTGGGAACTCTCTCGGGTTCCATTGGAGGGCAGAGAAGACAATGGTTTTTTTCACAATAATATGGGTGTTTATATAATTGTGTAAGGCAGATGGGATCTGTCAAACTTCAATGCAAACCAAAAAAAAGAAACACATTAAAATAAAGGGTAGATATAGATATGAATTGTATCAGAAAATTGTTGTGGAAATAGTTTAGAATAAAGGTCGAAGGTAAGGAGCTTGCAATGAAATTGCTGAGGAGACCGGGAGTGGTACATTGCGTAAGATTCTGGTCGAAGGAAATTGCATGGAAGGTTCCTTTGGGGACAAAAAAAATTGACTGGGCCACTGGCTCTTTAATTGTCAATTGGAAATTTTATTTGTCCAACGTCTACGAACTCCCAAATTTTCAGACACTGACGTGACATAAATTTATTTTTTTTGGGAATAATGTCACACTTATTATTTTCTTACATTATCTGTTTTGTTAAACTTTTTATATTACTTTTAATATATTACTAACTAATTATTGGCATAATAAGTCCTATCATTTATATTTAGGGTAAATTTTACTTTATTCTTTATAATTTAGGTCATGTGCAGATTATTCCGTGACTTTCAAATATCAACATATAATTGCGGTTGATGGATTAAAACGCACACTTTATTAACAGAAATTATAAATTGACAATTATACTACCATCTTCATTTTGTTCTTCTCTCTCTCCAAACTCAGTTCTCTCTCTCTCTCTATCTTCATCTTCTTCTTTTCTCTGTCTCTATTTCAAACTTTGTAAAATCTCATCTTCATCTTAAACTCACTTCATCTTAAACTTTATACAAACTTTATACAATCTCATCTCATCTTCATATTTTAGCCATTATACAAATATATATATGTATATGTATGAGAGAAATTTCAATTTTCTTCAATCAAAAAAAAAAAAATTAAAATGAGTTGGGATTTGTATATATATATGTACATGATCAAGAAAATATATATTTATATATATATATGTATGTGTATATATGTACACATGATGGAGTTCTGGTCCAGATTGTCTTTGCAGAGAAGGCCGGTGTCGAGGTCAGTTGTGTGTGGATTGATTGTATTTGCGTTGGGTTTGATTTCGTCATCTTTTTTATTTGATTTCGTTTTTCAAAAGCAAAAAGGAGATATATTGTTGTAAATAAAAAAGAGATATATTAGATCTCAAATAAAAAAGAGATAACACAAAAAAAAAAGAGAGATATATTGTTAGATTCAAATTTGAATTTGCAAATTTTTGTTATGAATTGGTGCTGTGAGAGAGGAGGAGGAAGAATGGCAAGTCTTTGTAAATTTAAAGATGTGTAGGAGGTATTCTGGTCATAAAGCATAGCCTACTTTCTTTATGGGCGTGTGAACCTCACACTACAAGAATTTTCACTTTTGGCGACTAAATTTTTAGTCGCCAAAAGTCATTTTTTTAGTCGCTGAACGGCTTTAGTGACTAAATTTTTTGGTCACAAAATTAGTAGCCGAAGAGTAGTCGGGAAGGCTAATTGGCGACTAAAATTATTGTAATCACCAAATATATTCATTTTCCGACTAAATATTTAGTCGCCAAAAGGTTGGACATTAAATTAAATTAGAGCATTTTCGGCGACCAAACTTTTAATTGCCTAAAATCCCACCTTTTTAGCTATTAAAATTTTAGTCGGCAAAGAGTTCTTTTTTAGCTACTAAAAATTTAGTAGCCGAAAGTCCCTATCTTTGGCTACTAAATGTTTAGTCGGTAAAGAGCTCCTCTTTTGGCTACTAAATATTTGGTTGCCTAAAGTTCTAAATTTTTTGCTACTAAAATTTTAATCGGCAAAAGTGTGTTTATAATTTAATTTTTTATTTTTAGTTACGAAATATTTTAGTCGTCAAATGTTTGGTTTTCTTTTGGCTACTAAAGTTTTAGTTGCCAAATGTCTTTTTTTTTTTTGGTGCTAAACTTTTAGGCGCTAAATGTCTTCTTTTTTTTTTTACTACAAAACTTTTAGTCGCCAAATTTCCTTTTTTTTTTTTGTTACAGAACTTTTAGTCGTCAAATGTCTTTTCCCAATTTCTTTTTAGCTACTAATTGTTTAGTCGCCAAAAACATGATATTATGTTTTATCGCAAAATTATAATTTCTCCACAACTTGTCTATATACAATACAACCTGTAATACATATAAAAACAAAATGATACATACTATCAATCATTTCACAATCTGCATCCATATACCAAAAATAAATAACATTAAATATCAAAGTCCATATAAATCAACTATTGTCCAAACTAAAATAATAATTCTATACAAATTATATCATGCAAAAATCAAAACCCTCCGAATACAAAAAAATACATTTACTACCAAGCGAAATTACCATTTGACGTGGTACAAATTACCATCGTAATCTGTACCACAACAAAAGGTGATATATGTACCACGACAAAAGTTTTCTATGGACCATGACAAAACGTCCTATATGTACACCGACAAATGGTATATATGTACCACGACAGAAGGTGATCTATGTACCACGACAGTCATTATTGGTTGATTGCCAAAAGTTTTCTATATCAGTAATAATGAACTACACAAAAGCTAAGGATGACAAAAGTATTATATTAGTTCTATACAAAAGTGAAAATTCTTCTCCATACACCAATATGGATTATCTACAAGTCCACACAACAAAGCCATCTACAAAAAAAAAAACAAAAACAAAACAAAACATTAGAATTGGTTACAAAATATCAATTCAGTTAGCCATATGGAACATGTTCTCACATGCATTTAAGGTAGAACAATCGAGAAATGTCTTTTTGGAAATAAAATAAAGTATATATATATATATATATGTATCATGCAATATTTATTCCAACCAACTGCACAAACAATGTAATATGTAATTTCTTCGTCCTATAAATATATAAAGGCAATTATTAGAATATATAGATGTTATTTTAATAAAGTTGTTGTTTTTTTAATTAAGTGTTGCAAGTTTTTCGACTAAGTGTAAGGCGTATTCGGGAGGTGTTATGAGTTTTCGCCCTCAGAAAGCCCTTTTTCGAGTAAGTTTAGGGTGTATTCGGCTCTAACTCCCAACCTACGTGTTCGAATTACATTCCGTCAATTCTCACAAGTCCTATTTGTCATGGGGGAACTGTCCGTGCGAGCCACACGGTGGTTCAGGGGCAATTATGAATTTTCGCCCCCCTGAAAGTCCTTTTCGACTAAGTTTAAAGCATATTCGGCTCTAAGTCCCAACCTACGGGTCCGGATTACGTTCCATCAGTTGTCACAAGTCCTATTTGTCATGAGGGAACTGTCTGTGTGAGCAACACAGTGGTTCGGGGGCTATTTTGAATTTTCGCCCCCGAAACGCTCTTTTTCAACTAAGTTTAGGGTGTATTCGGCTCTAACTCCCAACCTACGGGTCCGAATTACGTTGCGTCAGTTCTCACAAGTCCTATTTGTCATGGCAAAGCTATCCATGTGAGCCACACGGTCATTCAGGGGCTGTTTTGAATTTTCACCCTCAAAACGCCCTTTTCGACTAAGTTTAGAGCGTATTCGGTTCGAACTCCCAACCTACGGGTCCGAATTAAGTTCCGTCAGTTGTCACAAGTCCTATTTGTCATGGGGGATTTGTCCGTGTGAGCCACACGGTGGTTCAGGGGCTGTTATGAATTTTTGCCCCCGGAAAGTCCTTTTTCGAGTAAGTTTAGAGCGTATTCGGCTCTAACTCCCAGCCTATGGGTCCGGATTACATTCCGTCAGTTCTCACAAGTCCTATTTGTCATGGGAGAACTATTCGTGTGAGCCACACGGTCGTTCGGGGGGTTGTTTTGAATTTTGAAACGCCATTTTTCGACTAAGTTTAGAGGGTATTCAGCTCTAACTCTCAACTAACCGGTCCAAATTACGTTCCATCAGTTCTCACAAGTCCTATTTGTCATGGTGAAGCTATCTGTGTGAGTCACACGGTCGTTCGAGGGCTGTTTCGAATTTTTGCCCCCGAAACGCCCTTGTTCGACTAAGTTTAGAGCGTATTCCCAACCTACGGGTCCGAATTACGTTCCGCCAGTTCTCACAAGTCCTATTTGTCATGACGAAGCTATCTATTTGAGCCACATGGTCGTTCGGGAGCTGTTTTGATTTTTCACCCCTGAAACGCCTTTTTTAGACCAAGATTTGAGTGTATTCGGCCCTAACTCCCAACCTACAGGTTCGAATTACGTTATGTCAGTCCTCATAAATCCTATTTGTCATAGGAGAACTGTCTGTGTGAGTCGCACAGTAGTTCGGGGGCTGTTATGAATTTTCGCCCCTGGAAAGTCCTTTTTCGACTAAGTTTAGAGCGTATTCGGCTCTAACTCCAAACCTACGGGTCCAGATTACGTTCTGTCAGTTTTCACAAGTCTTATTTGTCATGGGGGAACTGTTTGTGTGAGCCACATGGTGGTTCGGGGGTTGTTTTGAATTTTCACCCTCGAAACACCCTTTTTTGACTAAGTTTAAGACGTATTCGGCTCTAACTCCCAACCTACGGGTCTAGATTACGTTCCATCAATCTCACAAGTCCTATGTGTCATAGCGAAGCTATCCGTGTGAGCCACATGGTCATTCAGGGGCTGTTTTGAATTTTCGCCTCCGAAACGCCCTTTTTCGACTAAATTTAGAGCGTATTCGGCTCTAACTCCCAACCTACGGGTCCGAATTACGTTTCATCAGTTCTCACAAGTCCTATTTGTCATAGGGGAACTTTCCACGTGAGCCACATGGTCGTTCGGGGGCTGTTTTGAATTTTCTCCTTCGAAACGCCCTTTTTCAACTAAGTTTAGGGCGTTTTCGGCTCTAACTCCTAACCTACGGGTCCGAATTACGTTCCGTCAGTTCTCACAAGTCCTATTTGTCATGGCGAAGCTATCCGTGTGAGCCACACGGTAGTTCGGGGGCTGTTTTGAATTTTGGCCCCAGGAAATCCCTTTTTTGACTAAATTTAAGGCTTATTCGACTCTAACTCCCAACCTACCGGTCTGAATTACATTTCGTCAATTGTCACAAGTCCTATTTGTCATGGGGAAGCTGTCCGTGATGGCCACACAGTGGATAAGTGATTTTAGTTCAAATAAGAATCTGTCACGACCCAAACCTGCCCCTATGGGTTTAGCACCGTAACCGGCCAGTAATCTGAGATTACCGAAGGCCTGCTTAACAGTAATAACAGTAATACATAGCACAGGGGCTGGCGGAAATGAAAACAGTAATCAAAGATGTCCAATGAGCTGTGACAATCTGTATGCAAAAAGACTTCTCATACATATACACATTCAAACCATAACAGTATATACATACATCATATACAAGCATTCAGGTTATGGACCAAATCCCTACCATAACAGTACAGTAACAGATATCATTCAGTCTATACATAACAGAGACAGATAGGATGAATCTGAGACACCCCAAAAGTAGCCTTAGCCTAAACAGATCTGGAACCTCGAAACGAGGCACAAAGGTTAGCTTGACAAAACAAGGGCTTAGCATGACACTTCTAGCAACGGTACGGTGCCTGAACACCTACATATATATATATGAGCAGTGAGCTAAAGCCCAGTAAATAACATATGCATAAAGAGGTTAAGAATGAATGTGCTTTCAGTATTGAAAACAGTCATTTATCAGTATATCAGTCATTCAGTTTGTAGCTCATATTTCATGCCATAACAGTCATTCAGAAACTATAATAGTCGTATGTGGTACATCCAATAGCAAAACAGTACAGTAGGTCTTAACAGACCGAACAGTTAGTTGATGGCCATCATATCAGTAAACAATAGTGGTTCCAAACATGGGAACCGACAGAGATCTCTGTAACAGTAGTAGTACAGTACAGTAATAGTAAATTGCTATGGATGCCGCGAATACAGTTCACAAATAGGACAAACATTCATTCAGTAAGAAATATCATTTCAGAAAGCAATACAGTTGTTCATTCAGAAAATATTCATGATTGAACATATCTTTACAACATTGTTACTCACAGAGCACTGGGCTATAAGCAGCTAGAGCGTCCTTGGATGCCAACTCTACACAGTTACAGAACAAACACACACTAAGCTACACAGTTGGGAAATAATAACTTAATCCCTAATTTGCCTCGGTGTGATTCTACGTCAATATCCTCATTAAGATGCCTTAAACTAGGCCTAGGAGTGCCTAGGATAGAATGAGGATGCAAAGATGCACTTTAAAACACTTTTCAGAATTTTCAGAAAACAGGGGTCTCGCTCGAGCGTGGCTTTCTACGCTCAAGCGGGGCTTTCTACGCTCGAGCGGACATGCAAACAAAGGAGCTCCGTTCGAGCGTGACTTTCCTCGCTCGAGCGGACTGCAAAAGTACTGGATGCATGAAATTCACGCTCGATGGGCGCTCGATACCCGCTCGAGTGTGAGACACAAGTCCTCGTTCGAGCGTGCATTCCCCCGCTCGAGCAGACTGTAAACACATGCAAAATACTGGATATACACATTTCCCGCTCGAGCGTCACTTTACCCGCTTTAGCGGACTGCATAAACACAGGTTGTGCGCTCGAGCGTGGAGTTCCCCGCTCGAGCGTGAGTCGAAATTTTGGAAATTCTAGATTGAACCTTCAAGCTCAAAATCAACTTTAAATGTACCAAATTCAATCCTTTTGGACTAATTTTCTGGAAAACACTTGTAAACTCATAATATGACATGTTTCAAAGATCAATTTGAGAAATCAAAGCCCAAAGGTAGTTCAATTAAACACAATTTCAAAGAAGTTTTCATGAACATGAAGAACATATGACATGCATGAATTCTAGTGAATTCTAATGCCTCAAAACATGATCCAAAGCAAGATTAAACTCAAAACCATGATGAACTCATAGACTAGAACAAGAATGTAAACTTGCATGCAAGATTTCATGAAAATCAACTTCAAAATGCAACAATGTGTACATGCATGAGCTTATATGAACTTAAAGCTTCAAACACAAGATCAAATGAGCCAATCCTTCCAAAAACATGGTGAATTCATGGATTATAACAATAGTATGGACATGCGTGCAATAATTTCCATGAAAACAACTCTAAACTTCAAGATATGCACATGCATGCATGATTCAAGTTTCAATTCAACAATTTAAGCCATAACTTGGCTCTAAACTCCAACAATCCTCTAAACCATGCAAGAACCAACCCAAAATATGAACAAGAAGGTAAATTCTCTATCTTAAGTCTCTAATTACAAATGTAGAAGCTCAATATGCAAGGAATCCTTCAATCGCCTAAGCCTCCAAGCCAATTTGGTTGAAATCCAGTTTTTTTTTCCTCTCACTCTCTCTCTCTCTCTCTAGTCGGTTATGGGTCTCAAACGGCTGAGGAAATGTGTTAAAGCTAACATGTATAAATCAAATAAAAGGCTCAAGAAAGTCCACCAAGTGGCATTTTGGTAAATAACTCAAGTTGATGAATTTTAACTTCATTTAATCTAATTTAATCATACCAAATCAAATTTTAACTAAATTTACCATAAAATGACGTTAATTCTAATTAACACAAAACACTAATCAATTTCAGATTCGGCCGCCGATAAGACCTTCAATTTACAGTTCGAAACTTAAAACATGAACAGATAAATCAATGACAAACAGATAGAAATGCATTTAAACTAATACACTCAACCAATTAGTTCAGGATTTAAGTCAATCAATCAGTTAACATGCTTAATCATAGATCAGCACTAATCAGTGGTGAAGGTTGTCACAGAATCTTAAAGGAATTATAAAAATAACCAAAACTGACCTAAAAACGCCAAAGAATGTTGTCAAAGTAAATAGATAAATTTGAGTAAAAATTAACACATGCACACGCTCAAAGATTAACTACATGGACCAAACACGTGACAAAGTACATAAACTATCTTAAAAGGCTTCAAAATTGCATATGGTTTATGAAAGATTAATCACAAGGACCAAACATGTGACGAAGTATCACATAAACTAACTAGCCAATAACAACTATCTTCATTTTCATTTCTCTTTCAGAATGTTTAAGATGATACAGTTGAAACTTACATTAAGTGACCAAAGTATAAGGTTCTTTCTGTGCTAATAATGTTGATTTCCAGTTCCACAACAAAAACTCATCTCTAAACCATAAGGATGCTCGACCTCCTAATACTTACATTGCTATGATTAATAACAAAAATTACCAAAAAGATGTATAATTATCTACACAAAAATAAGGAAAAGATTTTCCCACCTTTATATTTGAACAGGGCAACTTTACGACAATTGTTTCCCTTCATCCTTTCCATATATATGCTAAAGTTCACGAGTAGCAGCTAGGAACGATTCTGAAGCAGAGAAAAAAGAGTGCATGTGAGCAGGAAGGCATTGTATCAAAACATATTGAACTGTCACTCACTGATAACTAAACCAAATAACTTGAATTACCTTTCCAAAGACGGAAAGTGGGCACATTTTCCTCATATCCACTTTGGGCTAAAGTTAATGGCAGCCAGTAAGCAAAGTTAGAGTATTCAAATGCAATAAAGGGGACTCAAAAACCTAGTGGATTCTATTAAAAAAACAATGGTATGTTGCAAATAAAATCATGTTTCTCTATGTATAACATGCATAAATCTAAGATTAATTAAGTCTCCTAATCAACCTTATGTATTCCTCTACTTCACTTGTATTCTGTGAAATGACAAAATGATTGGATGATTTCTTACCAGAGGACTTGTGTATGTTGCTCATTAATTTAGGGCCACATACATTATATATTAAACATTTGCATATACATACACAACATTATTATGCATATCCACACAACATTATATATATACACACACATTCACCTGCATATATTACACATCATGTTTGAAATTTATCATAAATCCTTGAGCTCTTCAACTTTGAGGATTCAGTCAAACCATCCTTAAGTAAAAAAATAAAATCCAAAATGAAACTATAGAAAGTTATAAACAATTAAAATTAGAGAAAAAAAAAAGACAAGATAATCACTGGAAATTCCACATCATGAATTTATGATGAAAGCAAATTTGAGTTTCTCACTCAAATCACCATCTCTAATACATATAAATATATACCAACATCAAGAGTTGGCAAAAGGATCATTATTCCAATTAGTTAGTTACATGAATTATGCAGAAGATTGTTTTTATGATGAGTAAATAGCAATTCTGGCTTTCCACAGCCACCAACTACTCTTAACACTCTTAGGAATTTTGTTTGAAGGGGTCATTCAATTCCCCCCCCCCTCTCCCTCCCTCCCTCCCTCCCTCCCCAAGTTAGAATTATATCAAACTAACCTCAAATAGATGAAATTATTCATAAAACAAAAATTCTTTCAGCTCAATGGGGTCACAGTACACCCTCCCTCCCCAAGTTAGAATTATATCAAACTAACCTCAAATAGATGAAATTATTCATAAAATAAAAATTCTTTCAGCTCAATGGGGTCACAGTACACCAAGCGCGGCCCTTGAAATTATTTCAGCTCAATGGGATGGCAGTAGAGTAGTTAGTCATCTATCATGCATCAATTTTAATTTTGAACTTTCACATGAATGATTGACAAATCAAGGCGATTATCTTTGCTTATTTACAGTGAAAATGTAGATATTCCACTATCCATTGTCTTCAAAAACAAAAATCCAACTGACAAAACCTTATTTAATTATCTTTTCTATTCTGCAATTTAGATGGTAAGAGCAACAAATTCTTTTCCAAAAAGATTTAATTTCCAACCAAAGATTTAATTTCTTGTTGAGTGCTGTGAGTTTCTAAATAGAGGGTTGAGTGAAGTGAGCATATATATTATCTGTGTTGGTGAATGTGATATGGAAACACTGTCGATGGTTATACAACTTTGTCTATTTAGGTTGTTCTTATGTAATACCCTATATTGGACAGGTTTTATTAACCTAACTTGGAGGTAGAAGACTGAAAGGGACTGGGAACATTGTGCTGCAAGAGGCTGCTGGTGGCATTGACCCATGAGATTGAGAATCTGTAAGTATTGACCCCCAATGACTACACTAACTCAATGTCCTCCTATAATAATCAAAATAAGATAAAATTAATTTGACAATCTCTTTTCATATCTTTGTTATGCAATTTAAACGTACAAACTAATTATAAAAGAAATGCAAGTCTAATACCAAGTAGTGATCATGGGCTACATCTCCATTTGCTCCATTTCTTTGGCCACCTAAATGAATTAAACAAACAGTTAGTCAAAAACCAATCATATTACAGTTAGCTTTAGCTGCATTTAGACGAGACCTTCATTTGATGCAAAGATTACATACTCATATCTCAATTATGAATTATCATCCATCATAAATGTAATTGCAGACTCCATTATCTAACATGACCCCCTTATATCAACTAAAATAGCCAAGTCTATAAGGTATAGACGATGGCAATGATAAACTGCAAACTTTTGTGTTGCTCAAAGGCTATTGTTCAGAATATCTAAGTTGTTAAAGAAAGATCAACAGATAACGAAAAAGGACTCAAAATAAGTACTTTGATATCTATTTTATGTGCTAGAGACAGACTAACTAATTATGATGCAGTGATCAATCAATATAGACACTCCATTTTTCAGATTGTAATGTGTTACCACAGAATCTAGCAGGTCAATTGTATGCATTGTAACAATCAAGAGCATAGAACATACCATTTATTGGTAGAAGGTGTACAATATAACTCACATGAGTAAGCTCATTCCATTTATATTCATATTGACAGTATGCATCTAGAAAGAAAAAGAAGTTAACAGCTTTAACAAGGCTTCTTCCTGGAGATATATTAGGTGTTAAAACTGTCAACCTATGGAGTGCAAAAAATGAGTGCCACTTATTATGGAGTGATAAGAGCTATTTCTATTTCAGACTAAACAAGAACCAATTAGCTTTAGGCAATAGGCAGGGGAAAGAACAGGATTATAGGTTTTTTTCTTTCTTAGAAAAGGATCTATATGAAAGAAAAAATAAGAAAGAAGAAATGCATTTTGAAAATCCTAACCAAATCTTGAGACAACCAGAAAGCATTTACACACATAATCATCTGTAAAATGCCCTTTTATTTTTCCTTTTCTATCTCATTCATCTTATTCTTTGACAGTAAGTACAACCACCAACATTACAGTCGGTTCACTCCAATGCTACCACCTCTAACCACCCAACAGACCACAATGACCACCCAAATTTTTTACAACATAAAAAAGCAATTAACACATTAAAATCAATATCAACTTAATAAATTGATTGTTATAAAATGGGAATAGATTCATGTAAAAAGGGGCTCATTTGCATACAAATGGGCTACTATAATCATGCTAATAAATAAAATTAAACCCAATAAGTAAAAGACTCAATCGTCCTAACAAGGGCATCAGTGATACAAAGAAAGGCAACATCACCAAGCATTCTACCAGTTACATGTTTTCTCTAAGCTTTCTACCAATTACATACTAGCGCCACTTTTCTTACATACATATATGAGTGAGTGAATGTGTGTGAGAAAGAGAGATAAGAGTGAACCGGGCATAATCAAATTCTGATTATGCATATAACTCTGCACAAAACTAGTGAAGAAAAAAGAAAGATATTTTTTTGGTCAGAGAGTGAAAACCCTAGAAATTGGGTAAAGATATATCTATATATATATATATATAGAGAGAGAGAGAGATGAAGAGGTCGGAAATACCTGGTGCGCGCTAGAGGAGACACAAATCAAAGTAGCTACTGTTGTCCGTCGCTAGTGGAGAGATGGGTGGTACCGTCGCTGGTGGGGATGTGGGTTGTACCGTCGCCGGTGAGGAGGTAGGTGCTTGTGTGCAACAGTGGTGGACGGTGGCTGGTAGGAGGGTCGTCTGCGATGGAGTGTGTGAGAGAGAGAGAGAGAGAGAGAAGAAGGATGATGAGAGAGTAAAATGGGAGAGGATTGACATAGTAGTCTAATTAAGGAACAAAATTTGATCAATGGCGACTAAACTTTTTTTAGTAGCCAAAACCTTAATTAACAGCGACTAAATATTATTTTAGTCGCTAAAAGTAATAATTTGGCGACTAAACATTTTGGTCACCGATTAATTTTATACATCCCTCCAAATTTTGAAATTTTCCCTCCAAATATTTTAATTGTTTGGCAACTAAAATATTTTTTAGTCGCTAATTTTGACAACTAATTTTTTGGTTGCCAAAAATAAAAAGAAAATTTTTACTTTTTCATTTGCCGACTAAAAAATTTTAGTAGCCAAAACTATATATACAGTGACTAAAACACTTTTTAGCCACCAATTGTGACATTTTTAGGGACTAAATTTTTTTTAAGTCGCCAATAATCAATATTTCCCTATAAAAAAAAATTAATAGCTAAATATTGTACTTTTGCCGACTAAAAAAAATTTAGTTGCTAATTCCATAAGCTTTGACGACTAAATTTTTTTTAGTCGCCAAAAGTGCATTTTGTTGTAGTGTCACAACCCGTTAATTTGGATGGAAAAGCTAATTGTGCGTTTTAATCTATCAACCACAATGGGGTTATGCGATGATATTTAAAAGTCATGGGGTAATCCACACATGGCCTAAACCATGTGGGGGTAAAGTGAAGTTTGTCCTTATTTTTATAGCAAATGATATGCTAATACATTAGGTGGTATAAAATGTTTAGTGTAGTACTACTCAATATTTATATAGAGATGGTGTGGCTACTGTACAGAGGCACAACAACTACTACTGTACGAGTATTTGGGCCTATTTTGGGAGTTCGTTTTGATGATTTGAACTGTTCACTTTTTATAATATATTAAGTAGAATATACTTATAAAAAATTAAATTGATCGGATATCGTTAACCATTTTATCAAATTATATTTGTATTTACAAAAATAAATAACAAATTTGATTTGATGTAAAAAAACTAAAACAAATACAATTTAATGAAAAAGTTATTGATAGTTAAACAACTTGATTTTTTATTGGTATATTCTACTCAATATATCTTAAAAAGTGAACGGTTTGAATAATGAAGGCCCAAAAACCTAAACAACAATAACTGTTCTGCCTCCCGCATAACATCCTTCCTATTTATATTTAGAGATATGAAGGCATAAATATTTTTTTCTCACATTTACCATTTTGGTAATTGAAAATTACAGTGATCATATATATATATATATATATATATATTTACTAGGAAAGACTATAGTGCATACCTTATACCTTTTATAATTAAAAAAAAATTACAATTTCATATTTTTTGAGTTACAACCTAAATAAAAAAAATTTTAAAAAAAAGACTATAAATCAAACACTATATAAAACATAATTAAAAATTCCACCGATCACAATTAAAAATTTGACTAGGCCACTAGCTCTTTAATTGTCTTTCGGAAATTTTATTTGTCCGACGTCTTCGAACTCTCAAAATTTCAGATACTGACGTGACATAAAAGATTTATTAATAATGTTACATTTATTATTTTTTTATATTATTTTGTTTTTGTTAAACATTTCCTATTACTTTTAATATATTACCGTATATGTTAACTAATTATTGGTGTAATAAGCTCCAACACTTAAGCCATGTTTGTTTGGGTAGAAATGAACTTGGAATTGGACTAATAGTCCAATAAAATTATTAATCCGATATTTGGTTAAACAATTCAAGTATGGACTAATTATTTTAAACTTGACTATTAGTTAAGATAGGATACATAATCCAACGGATTCGTAATCCTAGGACTATTAGTCATGAGAATGCTAATCCAGTCCGCCTAAACAAACATGACCTTATGGTTATATCAAATGATGGGCTAATACATAAGGACCTTGTTTGTTTTAAGAGGTAAAATAGAGGGAATTGATAGTGGAGGAATTAAGTAAAATTGTGTTTGTTTTGATGGGATTAATAGTGAGGGAATTAAGTAAAATTGTATTTGTTTTGATGATAGTTGTTGGTAGGGGTGAGCATGGTCCGGATTGGACCGGATTGGAATAAAACCAGGACCAATCCGTTTTCTACGGTTCCTAAAATATTGAAACCAATCCAATCCGTTTAAATCATGGAACCAATCCGAACCAATCCATTTAAATACGGATTGGATCGGTTTAGGACCACGGATTCACATAATTAAATAACCAAATCTGCAAATTTATCAACACAATAAATATAATATAATAATAACTTATAATCCCTGTTCAACATAAGAGAGCAACATATTTTCTATAATAGCGACATACTATTCTAAATTTAAACAAACCATAAGAAAATTGGTTTCACTATAAATATTAAACCATTACAAATTAAAACTAAAAAACCAACAAACAAAGATAATAAAAGAAGATATTAATTGGTTTTAGGTTTGAGTTTAGATTTTATATAGAATTAAGAGAATATTACTATGGGGGAAAATGTATAATAAAAATATAGAACTATTTGTATACGTGTCGGATCGGTTTCCAATCCGGAACCGCTGGGTCAATCCGGAACCAATCCGTGGACTACGGATTTTTAATTCTTCAATCCGGAACCGAACCGCGGATTCAAAAAACCAATCCAAACCTATCGGATTGGACTGGACTGGATCGGATTACGGATTTTACGGATTGCTTGCTCAGCCCTAGTTGTTATTGTATGGATTGTTAAATTATTTTTATATAAAATAAATATAAAATAATAATAAATAAAAAAAACAAAAACATTAAACATTAATGTTTAAAAAAAATGCCTAACATGTAAAAAATTTTAAAAAAATAAAAATAAAATAAAAAATTTCCAAAAAAAAAATAAAACAAATAAAATAATGATTTTTACTTAACAAAAAATACAAAAAATTAAATATTAATGTAAAAAAAAAAATACCCGACATGTAAAAAATAAAATAAAAAATAAATAAAAATAAAAAATTTCTAATCCGCTGGACTATTTTTCTAATACCAAGTCCTAGAGGCCCATCCGAATCCCCTTGGAGAGGTCCATCCTAATCCGAAGCTCACTATCAATCCCCTCTCTATTTCTCAAAACAAACACAATATTAATGGGTTCCACCTCACTACTAATCCCAATCCCCCCTCTAACTCTCAAATAAACGGTGCCAAGGTGGTATAAAAAGTGGTGGGTGTAGTACAACTCAATATTTATATGGAGATGGCGTGGCTACTGTACAGAGGCACAACAGCAACTATTGTATGAATGTTTGGGCCTATTTTGGGAGTTCGTTTTGATTATTTGAATTGTTCATTTTTTAAGATATATTGAATAAAACATACCTATAAAAAATAAAATTGATCGAATATCGTTAGTTATTTTATCGAATTACATTTGTATTTGCAAAAATAAATAGCAAATTTAATTTGAAGTAAAAAACTAAAACAAATACGATTCAATGAAATGGTTATTGATATTTGATTAACTTGATTTTTTACCGATATATTCTATTTAATATATCCTAAAAAGTGAACGATTTAGATCATAAAAATAGACCCAAATGCCTACACAATAATGATTGTTGTGTCTCCCGCACAATAGCCACACAATCTCCTATTTACACTTACAGATATGAAGGCATAAATATTTTTTTTCTCACATTGACCATTTTGATGATTGAAAATTTCACTGATACACACCTTATACATTTTATAATTAAAAAAATATTATAATTTTATATTTTTTTAGTTATAACCTAAAAAGAAAAAGGTTACAACCAAACACATATAAAGCATAATTAAAAAATTCACCAATCATAATTAAAAAATTGACTAGGCCACTGACTCCATAATTGAAAAATGAAAAATGTCTCGTAGCTCAAATTTTGTGGCTCAAAAGTGGCTCAAATGGCCAAAATGACGTCGTTTTGGCCATTTTTATGTTGTTCTGTACTCAAAACGACGTCGTTTTGACCATTTGAGCCACTTTTGAGCCACAAAATTTGAGCTACATAGCATTGTCGTTGAAAAATTGACTAGAACACTAACTCTTTAATTGTCAAGTGGAAATTTTATTTGTCCGACGTTTACTAACTCTCAAATTTTCAGATACTGACGTGACATAAAAGATTTATTAATAATGTTTAACTTATTATTTTTTTACATTTTTTTTTGTTAAACTTTTTATATTACTTTTAATATATTATCTTATGTGTTAATTAATTATTGGTATAATAAACCCTAACACTTATGTTTATGTTAGATGAAATGCTAATACATGAGGTGGTATAAAAGGTGGTTAGTCTAGTACTACTCAATATTTATATAGAGATGGTGTGACTACTATACAGAGGCACAAAAGTAACTATTGTATGAGTATTTGGGTCTATTTTGAGAGTTCGTTTTGATAATTTAAATTGTTCACTTTTTAAGATATATTGAATAAAACATACTTATAAAAAATAAAATTGATCGGATATCTTTATCTATTTTATCGAATTACATTTGTATTTGCAAAAATAAATAGCAAATTTTATTTGAAGTAAAAAACTAAAACAAATACGATTCAATGAAAAGGTTATTGATATTTGATCAACTTAATTTTTTACTTCTATATTTTATTTAATGTATCTTAAAAAATGAACGATTTGAATAATAAAAAATAGAGCCTAAAATGAGCCCAAATACCTATACAACAGTGACTGTTGTGCGTCCTGCACAACAACCACACAATCTCCCACTTGTACTTACACATATGAAGGCATAAATATTTTTTTCTCACATTGACCATTTTGGTAATTGAAAATTTCAGTGATCATATATATACATTTTATTAAGAAAGGCTATGGTGCACACCTTATACATTTTATAATTAAAGAAAAAAAATATTATAATTTCATATTTTTTGAGTTATAACCTAAAAAAGAAAAAGGCTATAACCAAATATTATATGAAGCATAACTAAAGATTTTATAAATTATAATTAAAGAAAAAAATGACATAATTAAAGGTACATATAGTACACCACATTTAAGAAGCATGCATAGTAGAATTTCCCTTTTTATTTGTTATGAAATTGGCTTTACGATTTTATTTCATTTATTACTTGTTTCTTTATAATAAAATAAAATAAAAAAGTCATGCATATACGCAAAACTTATTATAGTTAAGAAAATAATAAGATTGATTATATCACATTAAAAACATATAAAAAGTAAAATTATTTTAATAAAATATTTTCGTGATAATTAATTGCTCTTTGTCAAATTTGAAAGCCATCTAAGAAGTCCATGGTTTTGTAGCTTAGGCTTGAAGGCCGCACTGCCATATACGGTTTCGTATTTAGGTGGAAATGATTTATATCTGTTTTTTCATTATAAAAACTAGCTTATTACTCGTGCTATGCATGGGATAATTATAGATATTCATATTTGTTTTAGATTTTTTTCAATATATAAATTATATTTTTTAAGATTTTTTATAAAATAATTTAACAATTTTATCACTAACCATGGTGTATGAGAGAAATTGAAAATGGTACTACAGTAACTATACACAGATTGTATCTATAACCATTTGTATGAGGGGATTTTAAATGTTGATTAGATAATTTTGACCAAATCAATAAATGCAGGCATGTGGATTGAAAAAAGTTAATAAATGCTGATCAGGCAATTTTGACCAAATCAATAAATGCTGAGTTTTTTTTATATAATAAAAAAATTATATTGGGGTATTGAAGCGCCCACATCCCTTGGGGTTAAAAACCCTCATTTTGCTTAAAAATCCCTCTTGAGTGTTTATGTTTATCTAACTCCAATCATATTAAAAAATCAAATTATAAATAAAAGGAGATAACTTCAATAATACAAATCACATTTTTTTTAATGCTATCTAACTACAATCACATTTTTTTCATA